CCGTTCAACACCCCGACTGCTGGTACTGTTTGGTCTTGTAAACCCAACTGCTCTATGACCCTCGATATGATGATGTTGTCCGAGCTACCTAGATCAATAAACACACGCTTAACTCAAGATTTATTGATAAGTACATATATTACCAGTGCATTATTATGAGGTTGTACGATTCCTTCGACATCCTAATCATTGAACGAAATGGTTCCCTCCGTGATATAATCTCGGGTTCATTTATCCCTTATGATGGGTACTTTAGTGCACTTTATCATCGGTTCCTAGGGGAAATCGATTCCTCCAATGATCATGTTGATGACGTGCTGAGGTTCTTCTTGTTTGGTCTTTTTGTTAGAGTCCCTGTTCCTAAAATGGTTTTTGGCTCGATCACTCAAAATATTCCGGAGATGCCCGTTATTAAACAATTGGGCAACTTCTTCTCTCAATTATCAGCAATCTGCGCTCCTATGGTCGTGAGTGCCATGATACTTACACAGGTTAGGATCTCTCTAGGTAGGGTCAGATTGTAATAGTTGAAGCCACTTGGTCTTCTTGATGCGCCTGATGGCTGATACGATGCTGGCTACATCAATGTTGAAGTTATACTCTAACAATCTTGGAGTCGTCCTTCCTCCGAGCGTCCTGTCGAAACCATTTTTGCTCATCAAGCCTTAGCTATTGGGACCTCGATCGCTCCTCTTTTCGTTCCTTGTAGAGTTAAGCCCGAACCTATTTCCCCTTCAATCTGCACTGTATGGTTGGTACCGATCTCGGACCGGCCTTGATTCATGATCGACGACTCTTTTAGGCCTATCATCGGTTTCTAATGGGATAAATGGACCCAGAGGGAGCTCCAAGTTGGTCATCTTTGACTCTAATTTTTGAGTGGTATCTATTGTAGATGTCGGCCCAAGTTACCGCCGGATAATCTTCTAAATTTTGTTTTAGCTGCTGTGAAGTCAAGGAGCTTTGAGTGTTAAGTCCTTGAGTGAATGCTTGAATGGCCCAATCATTAGCACCCGAGGTAGATCCATTCATTTCATCTGAAACCTCGATAAATTACCTGAGCATTTCGTTATCTCTTTGTTTAACTTTACAAAGGTCCGATTTTGCGGTCTCGACCTTGGTGGCCCCAGCATGAACCTTCATAAAAACATCTACAAGAATAGCAAACGAATCAATAGAATTCGGGGGGGGGGGGGGGGGGGGGGGTAAGTTGCGATACCATATCATTGTTACTTTTGATAGAGTTTCTCCGGCTTCTTTAACAAAACCGACTCGATTTCATCATCTTCCAAGTCGTTTCCCTTGATAACGTATATGTAGGAGGTCACATGCTTGTTGGGATTAGTGGTTCCATTGTATTTTTGAATGTCGGGCATATGAAATCTCTTTAGTATCGATTTTGGTGCAGTGCTCGAAGGGAAAGACTTTTGGATAAACTTTTTGGAATCTGGTCCCTTTAATATCGGGGGGCTCCCCGAATTTGATCGACCCTGGAGTTATAGTTCTCCACCTTTTTGTCGTTAGCCTCATTTTTCTTCTCCCCTGATGCCACCCGTTTTGTCAATTCCTCAAGAATTTTCATTATTTCGGGGTTGGTCTAGGGCTCAGCTTTGTCCGGCCTCTCGGTGTTTTGCTTATTTCTTCGGGTACTCTCCCGGGATCGTTCGGGCTCGACCCTACCAGAAGTGTGGCCTTGATTCTGTAGCTGCGCTATCGCCACTTGTTGAGCCTACAACATTTCGAAGATTAGTCACACTCTTATCCCATCACCTCCGCATTCGGGTGTTTCTTGAACCGTTGCTCGTGGGCCTCCACGAATACTATTCTCGGGTCAGTTGGCAGGTGGATGTCAATAGCAACCTGTGAATTGGCGTCGATTGGATCAGTAGATAGGACTCCGTTGGGATCAATAGGGGGTACCTCATTGCAGGTTGTTGTTTTTTCCATGATGTCCAGACTTAGCCTCAACATTCAAGTGAGCAGACTGAGAGTTTGACATTTCGAAGCTGACCTAAAATTAAAACTTTAAAGAACAAGCGTAGAGTGTGTTATGGAAATTTGTATCAAATCACTGCTATTATTTTTAGCCTCATGATGAGCGCCAAACTGTTTACCCTTAAAAATGGGTAACAATTGAATTATATGTGGTTTTAAAGATATGTGGATTGGTTCAATACAAATTACCAAAAATGTTAGATAAATGAATTAAAGGTACTGTGGATAACCAAACTAGTAGGACATTGAGTCCAAGTTCGGATTTATGCTTAGTAATAGTTCTACCTTCGACCGGACACTCGATTCAGAGCCAAATGCGTATGAAGAACCATAATTAAAGTAAGAACTTTTCAATAACTAGAAAGTAGAGAAATAAGTTTGTATTGCCTTGATATGCGTGTTACAGTGTATCTATTGAATAGTACACATCCCTTCCATATAGTAGGGGAATTTTACCTCTAGTACAAAAAAGGTAAAAATCCTCCTTGTATAACAATTACCGATACACTACCGACATCGGGCGAGATTTGCGCCGTGAAATTCGGTCAGGTGTGGATATCACAGCCCCCTGTCAGTCATGTGCAACCGTTCGTAGTTCTTTTTGAGGTCTAGGAGCTCGTTCCTAGATCGGGGAAACGTTGCCTTATCAAGCCCGGTGGTGCACACTCTGTTCAGGCCTTAATACGAGAAGTTCCCAGCTTCGATTTCAATTACATGTAGTTAGATCCTTGTTTCGTTTGACTCATTGAGAAATCGGGGTGCTCATTAGCCTCGGTTTTAATCGTATACAACTTTTATGTGTATTTTTCTCAAAAGTACTTTTCAAAGAAGTGCTTTTGGAGAGAAACTACTTTTTTCAGTTTCTCCAAAACTGCTTTTGCTTCTATTCAAAATCACTTTTTTTTCCTTCAAAAAGCTTGGCCAAACACCTTAATTTTGGCAAAAAAAGTACTTTTGACTAAAAAATAAATATTTTTGGCCAAAAAAAGAAGCTTGGCCATTCAGGCTAGGAGGCTCTAGCAATTTGTATTCAATTAAGGGAAATTTTCATAAAGCACTATCTTTTAGTAGTAATTAGACATCTATAGATACCATTTGCTATATTACGCATTATAGATACCTTTTCTGTGGTTATGTATTTTATGTATTTAAGCTATTGTATTCATGAATATAGTAGCAAAAATAGGCGTGAATCAGGGAAGTCCAGCTAATCAGTTGTTGTATTTGAGTGTATTCGACTGTATTCATGGAGTGAAGCATGGGATTCGGAGTGAAACATGAGATTACAGCTGGACAGATTATTGTATTTGACTGTATTCGATTGTATTCACGGTGTGAAATAGGGGATTACACTATTTTTAAAATGGAAAGTGAATCAATTAACATAGTAGACTCCTAATATAACTCAACAAACTCAATTATAACACACAAAAATTGTATTTTCAGTTATAAAAATGATTCTCAACCGAAAAATACCCCAAAACACATAGCAATCTTCAGAGAAATTATATAATAGATCTGAATACATATATATTAATTAAAAAAAATATATGAATACATTCATGGCATATAGCGAGACAATGAATACAATAAAATACATAGAATACAGTAGGATACATTGAAATACCATGAAAAAAAAGACAATGAATACAATGAAACGCATGGAATACAACGAGATACATTGAATTACAATGAAAAAAAGACAATGAATACAATGAAACGCATGGAATACAACGAGATACATTGAATTACAATGAAAAAAAGACAATGAATACAATGAAATATATGAAAAGACATTGAAATATATTAACAGAAAATCAAGTTGCTCAGCCCCAAACTTTGTCGTCTTTGTTCAAGAACAAACCCTAATTTCTTGCGAATCCGCCGTAGCAATACACTTCAACTAACGACGAAACAATCCACGGAACCCTCTCAAACCCTTCCTATAACGGCGAAATGGCAAAAACCTACCCCTTCAAGCTCGACCCATTTCAGGAAGTATCCATCGCATGCTTAGAACGTAAAGAACCAGTTCTTGTATCGGCACATACCTCAGCCGGGAAAATAGCTGTCGCCGAGTACACTATCACATGGCATTTAGGGATAAGCAGAGAGTTATTTATACTTCAACTTTGAAAGCATTGAGCAATTAGAAGTATAGGGAATTAAGCCATGAGTTTAGTGATATTCAATTCGGTGCAAGAATTGATCGGAATGAAAAGAAAATAGTGAGGGTGAGAGGAATTTTTGAGATGAAGCATCGTGTTTTTAGGGAATGAGGAAGAGAATGAGATGTATCAAAGTAGAGAGAGAAAGAAAATAGTGTAACTGATCGAATAACGTATTTAGTGGCTTAGGGCTAGGAGGTAACCAAAATTAAATATTTTGCTATAAACCTTAAAAGGTATCTATAGAATATAATTTTTTTAAATGGTATTTATTTAAAATAAATAAGGTGTTAACTTTTGCTATAGGTGATAAAAATTCCTTCATAAACCTTATAAGAATAATTTATGAAAATTGAATATTTTTTAAACAGTGTCCTTAAAATCAATTAATCCTACTTGGTCTCGTTTCTACTTCAAAACATGTTAGAGAAAAATTTATCCTGGCCAAAAATGGTGTTGACACTTTATAATTTAAGAAAATAATAATTTTGGATTTCTTATGTGTAAAATAAATTGTAAAAAAAAGATAGGAGATAAGTTTGTAAAGAATTACAAAATCAATTGACGGTAATTTAACTGGTCCCTGCGAAAACGTGTTTACTTACCTTGCTCAACTGTCATAGCTTAAAATCGTTCTCAACCACAAAGAATAGTCAGCAAATGGATCCGATCAGTAGTTACTGAAGAAAAGCAATACGTAGTAAGTTCAAAACTAAGGAAAAAAAGGAAAAATCTGAAATGAGAGGTCAGCATCAATACGATCTACGTGTTGCGATCTTATTTGTTTACCTCCTAAATATTAAAAATGAAAAAGAAATATCCTTAAAACATTGGATAAGCCCTGAAATCCAAGCCTCACCCTCCATTTTTCCGTTCTCCATTTTCCACAGAAAAATACAAATGGAAAACAACTCCATTCTCTAAAGCAACTCACTGTTTGGATTCTCCTCTTCTTTTCTTCTTCTTCACTATTTTCTGTAGAAATGGCGGCAGTTACTTCGGTATCGTTCTCGGCGATTGCTCAATCCGCCGAAAGGAAATCCTCCGTTTCTCCGTCCCGTTCTGTTGATACATTTAGGTTCCGTTCCAACCTCTCCTTTGACTGTTTCAATGTTCGATCTTCAAATTCCAGTTTCAGTTCGAATTCTTCCACCTCTCGCTTTGTCGTTCATTGCATGTCCACAGGCAAGTTCTCTTTTATGTCAAGATACATTGCTTCCAATTGGATTGGAAATCGAAAATAAATAAATAAATTATACAGTAGCTTTTTATCATCTATTTTTTTCCCCTGTTTTAGTTTAGTTACTCAGCAAGTGTGCATAGCTAATTGCATAATTTTGTGCAGGTGTATATTATAGTTGCTCGGCTAATTTATTTCTAGTGTCTGTCTTTCAGTGCTTAAAATGAACTGCACAGCAGTTGAGCTTGGATTTAGATATAGCGAAATACTTATATGTCATTTCAAGTGTTGAGAATATTTTACTGTTATAAATTCACTATAGTGTACGAGTATTTTATATGACACTAGATATTACAAAATGTTTTACACTATTCCATTTCTATACAACTTTTAGATTTTCACGAATTCAATTTCATTAAACTAATTCCTAATAGAAACTTTTGGTGTGACCTTTTCTAGATCAAAGTAACTTATTAACCATTAATTTAATATTTGTTTTCAATTATCAATACTATCATTACATTTTGTTAGCTTCCTAAATAGTTAAGGAGATGTTTTTAGTATCAATATACCTTTCTAATGAAGTACCAGCTTGCCAATGCAGTGACAACAAAATGACCTTAGCTTTTTCTGAAAAAAACTGTCAAATATAATATATAAGTCAAGTGAACATATAGGATTCCTGTTCATTCTAATAGCATCGTATTAAATGAATCAGAGCTGTTTCTTCCTAATGAAGATTGAATTAACTTATCAAAGGAAAAAAACATGGAATTGAACTAACAGAATAAGTGATCAGTGAGGAGAGTCATATAGCGGACCCCAACTTGTTTGGGACTGAGGCATAGTTGTTATTGTTGTTGTATTGAAGTAACAGAGGAAATGAAGCCTTCTCTGGTTTAATTTATCTTTCTGCGTTCTTGCAACTATTTGTATTTTCTGTATCTTGTCTATTTTCTTTCTGTTTACTTATTCTGTTTTATTTTAGTGCGGTGCAAATGTTTATTTTATGAGGCAATAATGCAGCGCATTATATTGTATTGTTTCCAGATTTGCCAACTGTGGCCGAGACTAAAATGAATTTCTTGAAGGCTTATAAGCGTCCAATTCCAACTGTCTACAACACAGTGTTACAAGAGCTAATTGTGCAACAACATTTGATAAAGTACAAGAAATCCTACCGATATGATCCCGTGTTTGCGCTTGGTTTCGTCACTGTATATGATCAACTTATGGAAGGCTACCCAAGTGAAGAGGATCGTGATGCCATCTTCAAAGCATATATAGAGGCGCTCAATGAGGATCCTGTGCAATACAGGCATGTTTAATCCATCTCTTGCCAATTTCAGTTGCTTTCTCTCACTTTTCTGTTTAAAGGCACACAAATAATCATTTATATGTGATAGCATTGAAGATATATCTTCCTTTCAGTAAGGTACTCGTAGATAAAGTATATATTTAATTACCATTAAGAGTTTCTTGGAGAGTGGAACCAAAACCCAAGATGAATAGGCTTAGCTGTATTATGGAATTGGAGAAATGCAGGTGTTTGGTTTCCCAATGAGTGAAAGCACTGTTCAGAACAGAGAATTAGCTGCAGAACTCTTGATCAACTCTCACTTACTAAGATATAACTACTGTTATCCTCAATCTACCAACATCTTCCTTGGCTTACGAAGAGGAATCCATAAATGAATAGAATAAAGCAGTCGTATTCTGAAGTGGATATTTCTATCATATAACTTTTAATCCAGACATTACATTGGAATTTTGCATGAGATTGATCAATTCAAATTATACATTTCTCCACTTGTAAAGTGTCATGATCCAATTTAGGGACCATGACTGGCATCCAGTAGGCTCTACCTACCATGTGAACCATCTTGACCTGGCTAAGGTAACTCATGCTTCTCTAGAAAAACTCAAGTTACAGAACACATTTCAAAACTAAGCTTTATACATGCTTAGCAAAACCCAAATATGGTGCAAATACATCTCAACCTAATATTCATGATTCACCCAGATTGCAAGAATTTTTAGAAAAGAGTTGAAGCATAAGTATGTCTTTATGTACTAGAAAATAGAATTCCATAGGGAGAGCCCCTCATCTTCCTCGGGGTGGCCAAAAGTTTCTGTTCTTACCTTTATTTTTGTTAAGAGAATTCAATATTGTTCTACAGTTTGCTCCATGTGCTCCAAGACAGGTTAGGGCCATGACCTAGAAAAAAGCATCCCTTATTTCATTGAAGAAGCCTTATCTAATCTGAATGCACATCTTTGCCTTTTGAGTGGTGAAGATGTTTTATCCTAAGAGGTTGGATGTTATAAATTAAACCATATGCCTTTTGAATTGAAGCACATTATGTCTCTAACGCCTTGAACAGGCAACAACAGCAATAATAATGCTCGGAGCAGAAAAAGTCCAAGGACCACAATCTTTAATGATCTGATGTTAAGGCATTAAACTTCCATTCTAATGGATCTGATTTTATAACAAATGCTCGAGCTTTAAGGTTCTTTGGTGAAAGGCTGATGGTCATTTGAGGGGGCTAAATTATGCTAAAACTAACCAACCAAGAAAATGCGGAAACCATTGCTCATTAACTTGAAACTTAATAATATGGGAAGATTTTCATTTGTCTTTTAGATTTTTTCTATGCATTGCCTTTTAATTATTATGATCATCCATGTAAGAAGGTAATAACTTCTTGCGGATGTTCTTATTTTTTCTTAATTACATTTGGAACATTGTTGTCAAAGGCGACAAGCGCAAAGAAACTCTAAGGTCTGTTGGGGCTTTAAGCGCAAAATACAAATAAAGCATGGGCTTTAATGAAGAAAGATGCAAATGGAGAAAAACTGCAAATATGTATGTGTAGTCCAAGACTAATATCTATAAACATGAATACCAAATATATAGACAAAGAAATTGAAGAAAGTTTACAATAAAGTGAAACATCAATTGTTTAGTGTCACCTCTTCTGGATAATGCTCGTTAGCAAGGAAAAGTATGTCTTAGAGCCTTGATGACAACACTGAAGCGCCCATTAAGCGAGACGAAGCGCTCAACTAAGTTTCTTGGACACGGGTGCGGGTGTCCAGCACGGGTGCGGATCTTGAGATCGGATCCTTTGAGATATAAATTCTAAGATTCACGGATATAGATCCTAGTACGGATACGGGTGCGGAGATCCGGCTAATAATAATTCAAAAATATAAAAATATCTCTAAATTATGAGAAATTTTTGTGGAATACTTATATAGCTTGTAAAGTGGGGATTTCTTTTTTATTCTCAAGTTGTAGATAAGTAAAGGATTGGTTTCCTAGATAAGTATGCTATTTTCTTCAAATTTACCCTAGTTTTGGTTCTGATTCGGGAATCAAATTGTATCTCGTCTCGAATTTTTCTGTCCGTCTTACTCAAATTACCCAAAATTGTTTGACCGGCTCTGGTACGGATCTCATACCCATACTAGTGTCGTGTCGACACGGGTGCGGTGCCTAAACTGCCGTGTCGGAGCAACTTAGGCGCTCAACATGTTTTGAGCCTCGCTTCAGGGCTTAAGCGTGCCTTTGATAACACTGATTTGTAATAGTCTTGAGTAGTTTATGAAATCTGCCCAATTAGCGAAATGGATATTGATTATTCATAAAAGCCGATGAGGCATAGTTTGTTGTTGTTACTGTAGTAGTTGTTATAATCTTCTGTCTAACATTGAGTAGATTTGGCAAGCTTAATTCTTTCCTTTATAAAGATTTATAACTTTCCCTGTCAGTTTACAGAGCTGATGCACAAAAATTTGAAGAATGGGCTCGTACTCAAAATGCCAATACACTAGTTGACTTCTCATCCAGAGATGGAGAAGTTGAAAACATTCTGAAAGATATTGCACAGCGAGCTGGAACCAAGGATAGTTTCTGCTACAGTCGACTGTTTGCGGTTGGTCTCTTTCGCCTACTTGAGTTGGCAAATGTAACTGATCCGACCATCTTAGAAAAGGTAGATATCATAACTTTCTTCATATTAGATTTTGTATTTTACAAGAACTTCTTCCTGCTCATATCTGTTTACTTTAATTACTTAAATCGTCTGGAGACACTAGAAGCACTTAGGCTTCTGTGAACCTGTAATGCTCTGGAAATAGTTATGGTCAAGCGCAATGGAATTTAGTATCAGAAAGAAGGTTAGACATGCTTAGGAGTTGTAAGCCCATATCTGGGTGAGAAGCATATAGATTTTCAATTTTTATTTGCATAGCTAAACACTGGGTAAATTGAAAAGACCAAATAAAGAAAAAAGAGAAAGAATAACCGAAACAAAAACACAGTATAGGTTTTCAAATTACATCTTGGATAGAACTCTAAATATCGGGAAACCTGATTCAAGTCATAAGACTGATGACACATCTTTTCTCTTAGAGCTTCTCAAGGGCTGGGGCTCGATACAATTTCTGTCCTTGTCTTTTCACTCATGTTTGTGTGCTAGACTCTATACTTTATTAGAGCCAGATTTAGTAAACCTACATTATCATTCTGGCTCGTATCAAACAGAGCAAAGGAAATGAATAGAAACCAGTCAGAGAATTGGAGAGAAGTCTTGGGAAAAAGAAGGATCATTTCCCCACTCATTTCCCGTCCTGGCTACACCTTCTACCTTGCCTCGAATTAGACATGTCCAGGCCTCTGATTTAGTGATTTTCGCTCAGTTTTCTGACATCTGGTGTGCAATTTCCTTCTCTGCTTTAATCTGAAGCAGATTACACTCTTCTTCCCCTGTCATGAGTTTTAGTTGATCTGATATTAATGTCTGTTAGTAGCAAAAGGATCAGCGGAGGTACTCTTTCATTGCTATTTGCTTCAGTTAAATCATCAGACATTAGCAACAGCATTTCCCAACCAGACTGTTTGCTGCTAAATTCTTCAAACTCTGGTCATCTCTTTGCGCCCTTCTGTGAAAGTTCAGCTGCAATCTTCTTCTTTTGTCTTTGCACAAAGCCTGAAGCCAATTCCCGCTGTTTGATGCCAAGAAAGCTTACCATAAAACACTTTTTACCCATTCAAAGTTAAGTTTCTTAAACGAGCAGAAGATTCACCTTCAGCATGTAGATCATTTATGATTGAGGTTTTGCTCAATATAGTTGGTTATGGATCAAGTGATTTGACATGAATACTTCAGTTATGAACCAAATCGATTTTAAAGAGATTGAACAGAAAGGCACTGAATCACAATCGATATCTCAGAGTTGCAATTTATATTGGAGGAACTCGGTGGACTGGACTTATTTTGATTTTTTAAGAAAGATAATTCACTCACTTTTGACACTTTTTGTTAGCTGAATTCACATTTATAATCCTTTCAGTTACCTTGCCCATTTTCTCTGTTTCTATTTCTTCTTGACAATTTTATATTTCTGAAAAAGATGAACGCCCATGAGAGCTACGGATCACAGAAAAAGTAAATGTGAAGCATTAAACAAAAGTATTTAAAATCTTACATGGTGAATTTTATGATATAAGGAAAAATCATACCTTTGTGTAGCGTCTGGACTAAAATTACCATTTAGTATCAGGAACTGTATAAATTTTACTTGAAAGAGCGTTGAAATCTATGTTATCTAAAAGATGGTTATGGGGAAGTGTTAATTTTGAAGTCCAAGGTATGAGTTCTCAGGAAATCTTTGAGAAAGAGAGACACTGACGGAACTCGTCATAGAACAAGGAAAAAGCTCATGGATTAATGGCCAAAATTGTACCAATTGGGACTCTTTGTGTTATTGACAATTCTATGCAAGTTGTTGAATGGATTTAACCAGTCTATAATACCCCTGGGATTGTAACAGAAACATCAGTCTTTAGCTAGTCTATTACTGAGGTTGTGGGTGTCTGGCCTTCAGGAGTTCTACCATCTCTCTCTGTCACTGTAAATCACCTACCGATGCTAGCATTTCTTGATTGCACTTCATGAATCAACAAATGTGTGATTGTTAGATAATGATCTTCACAAACAGTTACGCCCATCACTAAAAAGGAAAAAGAAAAGGAAAACAAAGAATAACTCAAATATTTTATTCTCATCTTCAACATTATCCTCCATTAAAGATGAAATTCAAGGTTCTCTGAATGAAAAGCAAGCAATTTCCTCAATAGCCCCCATAGTCTACGCTTCCTCCCATGAGACTGATTTTGTTTTTTAACCTGCGCGAGAAAGTAGAAGGTTTCAGTTAACCCTCAATGTATAACAAAAATGAGATTTCCCTGTACTTTGTTGATTATACCACAACTGCTTTTCTTTCCTTCATGAATATGCTGTACGACAAGAATGCTAATATGAAAGCTCTCCTTTAGTTAGAGTTTCCTTGTTATGCTCTTCATATTAAGCTCTTTAGTGTATTTTTCAAGACGTGTGCTAGTAAGCAAAAGAAGAAAACAATTGAATCTTAAGAAAATCTTGAGTCAAAAGAAAAAAAAGAAAAGAAAAAGTCACTTGTTTTGAATGATGGAACAACAATAGACTTGCTTATGATAGGAGTAACTAGTGTAGCAGGTTTGTTGAATGTGCACAACTGCACATAGGGTCGAACCCCCTTTAGATGTTTATGTTCATGAAACTGCAACGGACTTGGAGGTGAATATATTGTTGACTTGTGAAATTGGCATGACAGCTTTGTGCTTCACTGAATATAAACAAGAAAAGTGTGGATAGGGACCTTGATGTTTATCGCAATTTGCTCTCCAAGCTGGTTCAGGCTAAAGAGCTGTTGAAGGAATATGTGGAAAGGTTAGAGTTTCTCTTTTGGTTTGACACTCATTGGTGTCCTTTCTCTAACTGTTTTCTAAAAACTATTAAGCTACTTTCTCTCATGCATGCTTCTTGGATAAGCTCTAACGAGGTTTTGTTCATCATATTCTGCGTGAAATCCATGTCTGTTCTCTTAACAAACCCTTTCCCAGAAAAAAAACCCTCTTCTTTTTGGCCCCTTGTTTGCCTTCCTCCATCTTTTACATTCTTCACATGCATTTTGGAACAGTGCAAATATATTCGACCAAGACCTTGACTCGTGAATTTTGTTATCATTTAATCTCAATTATACAATGTATCTGTCGTCCAGGGAGAAGAAAAAAAGAGGAGAAAGGGAATCTCAGAAGGCCAATGAGGCTGTCACAAAATGCTTGGGAGATTACCAATATGCTGGGAGGTAAGGCAAAGATCATTTCGTTCTCCTGCTTGGACCTCATTGACTTGTTTCCCTAATAAAACAGTCCATGTATGATAGAGTTCAGTCTCCAAAGCTCAGGCAAGTTATATTAGAAAATCGAAGTCACGTTCAATGTTTTGTTATTACAGCAATTGAAGTATATCCCAATGTTCATTATTTTCTGGTTAAACAGAATAGCTTTATTGTTGCAACTATCTCTATTATATTTGTAGATAAAACCTCGAGTAGTGACAAAAATCAAGATTTGCTCAGCAGTCGTGCTTCTCATTTTCTTTGGTTCTGCTTTTGCTTCAAGTTGTAAACAGTGCTTTACAACTATCTATACGTTTTAGTTGGCACTAATGTTCGTTGATTATCAGAGTACTGATAAAATCAGATGAACTCTGCTGTAACAATTCACTATATAGAGATAGCTCTTCAAGAGGGTGAGTATTTATACTTGCAGAAAATATGTGAAGGTAAAATAGTAATTATATCTGCCACCTTATCCTCGGAGATTAGGGCCTTTACGTATACTTTAGAGAACTTCGTCAGTTATTTTATTGCAGATTTTATAGTTTCGTTTGTGTTTTTCTAAAGACACGTTCTTAATTAAGTTACGCAAAATCTTAGATTGGGAGTTAAATTTGCTAGTTGCTTAAGGTATCCACAATTGTCTTAAATCTTGAAATGTTACAACGTCTACTTAAAAATAATACTCCCATTTTTGAGACCGTCCCATTTTCAGTGATATAGAAATTTCCCAATGCCACTAAATCTGTGGTCATTTACAAGGTTGGGATTAGTACAGTGCTTAAACTTTATACCAAGACTGAAATGCCACTATAATATGTGGTCGTCATACTCTGACTTTAGATTGAGTAGAAGCAAGTATGCCCGAGACATTCCCGATCTGTCACTTTTTTGGTAGAGAATGCAAGTTTACAAGTCAAATAATGTTCGGCTTAAAGGCTAGATGGATCATTCCAAGCGACTCCTTAATCATACACTACAGGCGTTAAAGTTGCTCCTTTACACCACAAACAATTGGTCAGGAAATTTTCAACCAAAACCTCTAAAATAGGAATGTCGTTTAAAATCCGACATGGCGCATCTTTTTGTCTCCTATACAGCAAAAGGAATGCATCCTTGTCTCGTATACAGCAAATCGAATGTAGAGCTAGCTGAAAACAAAGAGCAATTATGAAGCTAACTGAGACGAGAAACATCGACCTCATCTGGAATTTTGAAAGTATCTGCTGCCCCAAATTTCCTCCTTCCTTCATCGACCGAGTTTTCATCATCGCTATCAACATCGTCAGCTTCATGATTGAAATGACTTGAGGGATTGTGTATGCTTTTGGCTCTGCAATCATGAGTAGCAAGCATCTTAACCTGGCCAAGATGAGAAATTTCTACCACAACGGTGTCATCATCTTCAGGTAGGGGTTGCTTCCAGGGTTCCCCATCTATCCTCATAAATGTATGGTCAGCTGCACCCTTGTGAAACTCAAATCGGATTCTATGTGCCTACATACAGGGAAACCATAAAGGATATGAGCGTCTTAGTTTTTAGGATGAATAATAAGTGAATAATAAGTTTTTGGATTACTCTATCAGCTCAATTATTTTTAGTCCTGTCTTGCTATATAAATATTTTCATTTAATAATCTTAAACCAAAAACATTTGATAACTAGTATTATCACAACTTCTCATCGGTAGACATACAATATTCACGCAAATATTTGTAATAACCATAATTTATTCCTAACCTGGGCAAGACGAGTCCCATGTCCTTTTGGAGCAAGAAGGACTAATCCGTGCCAAGCATCTCTGAATCCGACAACCTCAAGAAGGCCATCGTCTACAAATGGAGGAGTCAAGTCCCTCTGTCCAATGAAGAAATATATGCACGTCAATATAGCTAAAAAAGAACACAAAAAAATTCAAGAAATATATAATGGCTAAAATTTATCTGCATCCTGTGTTTATGTCAACCCAGTAATAACATGATATGTGTCTTCCACACACTCTTTTATCACCTAACTATGATTAGTTAATATGGATTTTCACCTCATTCATTACTTAACCATGATCAAGTACATCGATTTGGTGTAAACACCGGATGGCGGTAGATAACCCCCACCCATCTCCCTCCCCCATCATCCCCCAACAGAATACCGACTGTGAAAAGAAATAAGCTAAAGCCATAAACAGTCGAGGAAACAGAAAAAGGGGCAGATTGGAGGAATTTTTTTTTGGAATACATACATATCGGCGTTTGTTGTTATTTGGTGTTCCCCAAGGATTTAGTCCACCGGAAAAGCTAGGCAAATTGAGGCATACGATTGACCTGACACTGGACAACAAAGAAAAAGAACAGTTACAACTCATAAACTCATCGGTAGGTTGTTCGTCGGGAACCAACTTCATTAAGCATGATAAAAGCAGTAATGCAACCACAAATAGGTTACAGCAAAACAGCCAAAAGATTCTATTTTGAAGAATAATGCAGAAAAGTAAATTGTCAAGTCGTCATCTAAGGTTCCTATACTACGAGTAACTAAATACTACCTGTGAGGGATTTGAAGGTCTTGCCATTCGCCCTGCTTTTTCATAATCTTAACCTTAGTCAGTTGAGCTATGTTCCTGCAGCAAATCAAAATTAGCAGCTAATGGAAATCAGTAAATTCTCATAGTTGTACCATCATAGGAGATGATAGTGAAATATTCAATCCAGAAGTAATTAACTTGAACCGTCTTATGACAGGAAAAGTTCTTAGTTTTTTCAAGGTTTTGTCAAATTTATACTCGTTACTTGGCAAAAATTATGAACAGGAAAAATGCTGGGAGGAAACTAATGACAGCTGCACAATTTTTAGTTAATTTCTTTCTATCCCAAGTTATTGTCATTGTTTACCAGGCAAGGGAAATAATGCAAGGCTTGAAGTTTTCTGACATTGTCATGTATGTAGGAACAATCAACTTGTGTAAATTTAGTGTAGAAATTGCTAACAGTTAGCTATTCATTATGTTGATAGGCTACTCTGCTCGTCGCTGTGTTAAAAAGAAAGAGCGTGGATTTTTTGAAGAAAGTACAGTAGGATGATCCAAAAAGAAAAGAAAATTAAATCAGAAAAGAGGGATATCTCACTAAGTTACCAAGAGCAATCATCAAGTTACCCACAAATTCCTGTTTTTCATGTTTCCAACAAGAAGATTCAAGCAAATTGACATGGCTATTTAAAGTTAGCGCATAAGATCAAGGATTTGAAAGAATAGAAGATTATAAAGACATGCTTTTGACAATCTGGACAAATTCTAGAAGTGAATATGTCAGTCTTGGAAGTCTAAACTATATGATTATTCTAATTTTAATTTATCTGTTTAAAAATATTTAGGTGCTGCTCACCTCATGCCTTCAAGGAGGTGAAGCTTCCACAAAAAAGAATTCAGTTATTTTGCATAATATTTGGAAGGATTTATATATAAAAACTACACTGCAAACTCACCTCGAAGAAGGATGAACGAGAGGGGCAAAAAACCATCCTTGTGTACATCCTAGCTTTAAATATGCACTCTATGGAGCAAGAAAAATTAGCATTAGGCATCCCTTCAAATACTATCTTGTATCTACTCTGAAACAATAGATAATCTCATATAATTTGGATCATCTACAGAATTTTTAGAGATGCTAGAACACTACATCAAGAACGAAAGAGGCAAAATCACTACATTTGACTTGGGATAGAGAAACCACGAATTCCAATTTGGTCATGAAATTCTAAGCAAAAAATTTAACATGGTATGATGTGGCAATCATAAACTGTTATGTTTTCTCAGGAACCTAACAGTGGCATTTCTCACTTTGCTCCCGAGGGTCCTTACCACTGGGATATCCCTCATTTATCGTCAGTACCAGTCATTGCAAATTGCTTTACTGTACATCAGTATCATTAGAACGAGAGAAAGAAGTTGAATGGTAGAACATGTCCTTAGTAACGTAACAAAAGGTAAACACAACTGTAAATGATCAACCTCCAAGAAACGAGATATGCCCCATATACTTGACGCATCAACACAACTATATTCATGAGACTTCCATATTAAAGCAAAGTGCTAAATGTAGTTCCCAACCATAATAGTTTTGGTTACTAATTCACTAAATTATCCTTCTTATTTTTCCTGCTTATGAAAAAACTCTCAAAGTAAGCAAATGCTCCCTAATCATATGCCAATTATCTCTTTAGAGATACTTAGCATAATCTAGTGACTTAGAAGCCGCATCCATAGAGATACCAACTACCAAGCAATGAAACCTATTAATATGGATCTCTAGAAGCATGTACCACCTAAGATAAGGCGGATGACTGGATTTAAGACATTAATTCACATACCTATAATCAATTTAAAAGGGACCAAAAAAAAAGATGAGATTCTGTAGAATAGTTTCCAGAGGTATAATCAATTTAAGGGGACAAACTATACTGATGAAATAAAGCGGCATACCACCAGTAGGCAAAAGCACCATAATCTTAGTCTTCTCACATATGTTCCTATATCCTAATAAGCATAATACCACCTTCTTCCCTCTGTCAACGTATTTAAGATTAGGAAAAACAAAACCAGCTAGGATGGACCTTAATCAGTTTCTTATCCTTTTCTTTCAGTCACTCATATTGCTAGCAATTAGCATCCAAGAGTAGGTACTCAACATGACTTCAGGACAAGCCCATATTCGTGTATTTGTTGAAACATTAGCCTAGCGGACAATATTAGAAGTGCTTTAGGCTTCGAGAATAGTTCGAGGGAGATGTACATAAACAAACTAAAACTCAATAATAAGAAGCATTAAACGCTTATCTCAGAAAATAGGGAGGAAATAACACGTTTTGCATAGTATTTACAAAGGTAGCACGTCAATTACTTGGTTTCTGCAGATTGGATACACTAGGTTTTATAGGAGGGTCTCCGGCACGTAAATCAAGACAAAGATGCAATATATGGTTCTTTTCTTTGATCTATCATATATTCTCATCTTCCTCAACAGCAGAGACCGTAAAACTGGAGTGTCATTGACTCAAATTTCTACAAGCTGATACCAGTACAAAGTTAACACTAGAAGCTATTTCACTTTTAACCTTCTGTGTTATAGATACACATAGAACAGAACCTATTAAGCCTTACAAGATATTGTGGACAGAAAATCTTGACCCCTGCGGACAAGAACCAACCCTACATCTTCAACTATCTGTTTTGTCAGAGCGTCATTAA